GTCACGAATTAAAAAATGGATAAAATTGAACAAGTGTCTTTTTGTACGTTGATGAGACAACAGTTTCGCAAGAGTTGTTAGAAAGAGTATTCTGTATTCAGCTGTTATACTTTCTGTTTTTGTACTATACAGTGCCAAAAAAGAACTAATTGTCTTCAACACGAACAGTTCTAGTTTGCGGAAGAAAACAGATATGAATCTTTGAGAAGCAGATTTCAATGTTTTAAAGGCTTATGCTATAGAAGGAAACTTAATATGCTAACAAAAATAATTTAAGAATAATTTTCAATAGTGAAAAAGCATATTATTTAAAACTTCAAATTGATCGCCAGTTCTGAAAATGCTGTTGTATTTTGGTATTTTGTCGCTGCAGCTGTTGTTGTTTTTTAAGGGTAGCCCTCAAACATATACATGAATACATAGGATCACTAAAAATTTGTTTTTGTGTATCAGAGATCATACCAAGTAAGCGGTTCAAAATTTTCTTCCAATATTTGCATAATAATGAACACCTGACAATGAATTGCTAATAACAGTGTTATTATATTTGCAAAAACCAGTGAAACGCAAAACTGATGCTATGTTTTTTGAACGTTTTTTAAATGTATTTTTCCTTTTAGTAGTTCCACGAGTACCGTAGAGTAAAACAAGAGCAGAGACGAAAAAAAAGGTGAATAAGTAAGTTTTTTAAGAGCAATTTTTTGTTATTTTGAACAGTAAGCAAGACAGTAGAAAAAAGAAAGAATAGTTTTAAAATACAACAGAAAAACAACCGATTTGTTTAGACTTTAAGTTCATTAGACAGTCGTTAAAAAAACTTGAGACTAATGTTAACTGCTTGTTCTAAGACTTGTCCTTACCTTTATCTTCTAAAATCAAATCATAAATCTAAAAAAGCTGATCTTTCTAAACATAAGATAAAACAACCTTGTTATTGAGTTCAATAAAGCTTTTCAACTTTTGCAGTTTTTAGATGTTCCACGACAGTTTAGCCTATTCAATGCCTTTTTTGCTTTATTTTACCTGGCACTGTTTTGTTGATAAATAAGGCAGAAAAGTGTACCATTCTGCTAACGCCAATAGAAATAATGCATGACTTAGCATACAGTACTGTAGTATTACTAAAGTTTTGCATGCTGATGAAATAAAGGTGACATCTAAAGACACAAAAAAATATCTCCTGATTTGATATGTAATTTTGGTTGGTATCTAAACTTTTAACATACTAACAAAACGTTTTTATTTTTGCTTTAGACATAGTCAAGAAACTATGAAAAATTATTAAATGAATTATAAGATTCAGAAGCTTTTTTACAGTTATCTGGTAGCATTTACACCAATTTGCTTAAAATTCGATACATAACATTTTTGGTAAAACAAACTCTATTTTCTAATTATTTTTCATTCTTTCTTGTTCAGTTTGAAGTTGAATAATAAAGTAATTTCCAGAAAAAGTATAATAAAAAAAATCACTTAATTAATCTGAATTTATTACATTTTTTATATTTGTGGCAAATAACATTTCTTTATTTTATGCGGAATTTTGTTACCCTCATTAGTGCAAAATATGTAAACGTAATTGAAGATTACTTAAACTACTGAAATTTCAAATAAACTTGGCAGTAAAGAATTGTTCGGCGAGTAGGTGATTTTTCCTTGATTATATTCGCTAAGCAAAGCGTAATTTAATTATATTTTAACTTGTTATTCACTGTAATTTAGCTTTCTTGAACTTCTTTTGGTTTTATTGCTCTTCTGTTGTGGTAATTTTTGCAACTTAGTTCTGTTTTTTACAATTACAAAAGCCTCTAATACTTTGACCAGACAAGAGTTCAACAACAAAAGTACCTGAATTGTTTATCTGTAATTAAAAAATGAAACAGTACCGGTTTTCAGCAGTTTTAACTTCTGCAATTTTGACACTTGCAAAAGTTGTTGACTTTTTGTAAAAATTCATGACAGACCAAGTTATTCAAAAAAAAAAAAAGAAAAAATGATGTATAATTCAGTTTTTTTTTTTGCTGTTATAGTTGCTTTTTTTTGTGTTTATTAAAATTTGACAGTTTAGTTGGTATAAAAAATCTATTCGCCTAATATAATATCTGTCGTTAACGGAACTGCTTATTTATACTGTGGTATTTTCAAGTACAAAAAAAAAAAATTTCTTATTTCAGTCATTAGTGCAAAAAGTTTCAGCTTTTATATAGTTTTTATTTGTAATTATCAAGAACAAAAATTTCAATTTTAAACTTGAACAGCTGTTATTTGAAAAAACTTTTTTTTTTTGTTGCTAATCGTGGTAAAGTATTGGCACAGGTTGGTGTAAAATTTTAAGGAGATTCAAGAAAAACTGTAGGTACTGCAAAACGTCAATAATTAAGTGACAAAGGTGAATGTTGAAATAATAATGTGAAAAAAAAAAACATTAATCTTTTTGAGTTTCAAAATTATTAATAATATTAAATATTATTATTATTATCATTGATAATATTAAAAATATTAAATATAAGTTTTTGTGACAAGTAAAAAGTCAATAACTTTTAATAACTATCTATATGTCTGGAATTGTTTGCATAGTTAAGATTATACATTAATAGCAGAGATACAACGGTCAGATTGCACAAAGAAGATTCTAGTTCAAAAGAATTTTGACCGATCAATTATGATAAATGACGCTGGTATTTTGCCTTAGTCTATGTGTTTATGGTTTTAAACTTTGACCAGCTGCTGACAGTGGTATTAAATCTTTTGAAACTGACGATAAGTTTGGCATCATTCTACACCTAAAGAAATGATGTGACAATTCTGAACGTTTCAAAGAAACTTCAAATTTTAAATCGTTGGAAAAGTTAAGAGCATCGAACAGGTTGTTTTTGGAAGAAAGTTCTTTTTGTTAAAGTCTTTTTATATCAAAAATTTCCTCTCAAACAGCCGAGAAGGCGTTTGTATTTATGTTTAACAGCGTGTAAGATGATAATTTTATACCGGTATTATTTTCTTGATGTTATCAAAGGAAAAAGCCACCAATCTCATGTAATCTTCTATGACCAAAAGCAATGCCAAAGTGTAGTCTATCCCAGGTCTATTACATAATAGTCGAAAACTCTTGGCGATTTTTTAAAAAACATTATCACAGCCCTCCTTGTAAAGCTTTCAACAACAGATTCACGATAAGCTTTCTCGAAATTGCAAGTTTAAATAATCAGTCATCAGACGACTAAGCTTTTCTGTCAAGCAATTAAGCATCCTTAGTTTGAATCAAATTTTTTTTGTCAAAGATAAGTGTAACACATCTAATAAAGAACACAAAAACCAAAAGCTTGTTTATTAACTGTGATTATAAATAAAATTAATATTTTATTCGTTGAAAAAGTTTATTAGAACATTTTGGCACAGGAATATATGAGCAGTTATTAGAGCAGTTACTGTTGCTTCGAAGAACAAAAATTGATTTGTCAATTTGTTCGTATCTAAGTTACACCGACTTTTTTACTGGTGGTGACGTACAGGTTCAGAAGACTGAGTGGCTAGAACCAGAAAATCTATTTTTGGTTTACCGTGGGTGGAAAGTGTGTCATAAAACAGAAATAACTGCAAAATTTTTTTTGTCTAAACATCAGTAAGCGAGAGAAACGCTGGGCAGTATTTGTTGCGAAAATAATTTCCTGTTTGAAATGGCAAAAAAAAAAATGTTTCTCTTTTTCCGCATAAATCATTCATTCAGCAATCATTTAAAATGTTAAAACCATTTGGAACTAATGATAAGAGACAAGAAGAATGAATTATAAAAATGATATGTGAAGGCACTTTGAAGCAATTACTGCTGCGGAGGGCAAAAGTGGAAAAATCAAAACCCAAAATTGATGCAACAAAATTAGATGTCATCATTTGAACATTTTTTTGCTTTCATAAAACAATTATTTTAAAAGTTGTTCAACAGTTAAATTTGTTGATCCCTTTCAAACTACTGGCCAACAATTATCGACAAGAATTGAGCTGAAGTTGAGTAGCCGTAGCAGTGATAAACTTTCTGCAAACTACTTCTGTACACAATTGACTAAACAAAATTCAGCGTATATTTTCTGCCATTATACAACTAACTTTAAAGATAAAACTTATTCTTACGCTTTCAATACTTTAACAAAGTTTAGTGAAACCTTTCTTCATTTCTAATTCCAATGGTTGCCTTTACTGCATTTTCCAATCAAAATCACATTTGAAAAAAAACCTGGTAAGTTTTCACGAAGAAAAAAGCAACTTGAAGTAAAAAAAAACTAAAACGATAACTTTGAAAGTGATTCTCATCAATGTTACTGTCCACGTTACAGGATCTTTGTGTTGCTGCTTAGGTCTTTCCTTTTGTTGTCAAAAAATCAAATCTTTCAGTATCAGTTATTTTCAAGATCTTTAACTCAACGTAAGAACAATGTCTTTTAGTACAAACTATAAAACAACTGTATACACCAGATGACTAGAAAATACTTATTTAGTAAACTGATATTTAACAAAATAACATTATACTAGATAGAATTTGAAAACATTTCTATCGATTGTAGCACCATTAGCAGTAATAGCTTGATGAACAACTTGGTTCAGCAACTCACCTTGTTTGGTCGGTTTTTCGCATCACCATGATATAGGAAAAGCGTAGTAGTAAATTTGTAAATCAAACTGTCAGCTTGAAAAAACTTTTGAAAAGCTTTCATTACTGCAAATGTATCGCTTTAATTAATTCATGTAATGCAGTTATTTCAAGTGTCAAAAATAGAAATTGCCTAAAATTTATTCTGATTCAATGATTCAACAGTTCCAGAAAAAAAAAGTAATATTATAAGCACTGTTATTACTCAGTGACAACACAGTTCATTTTTCACATATATTTTAGACTGATGTAAGATCCCAAGAAAAAACGTTTGACATTTCACAATAAAAATAAATTTTTTTTTTCTGCCTACAAAGAGCACAGTTTCCAATACACTCAATAATCTTCCGTTTACCAATCAGGTAAATGGTGCACCATTTTTGCTTAAAAGTTGGTCTTTACCAAAATGGACACCTTTGCTGCTTAGTGCGGTTACTGATCGCATCATCATTGCATTATCTTCCACCGTTGCAACACAAAATTGATTAGTAGTTCGAGAAAGAACACTCAGCTTCAGTCGCCCAGTTTCTGCTAGATGCTCCCTGTACTGTGATGTAACAACATTTTCTAGTAACTGATTATCCCTCTGTAACATAGATGCCGCTCGCTGTATACTGCTATTTAATATCTTCTCAGTCTAAATTCAGCTAAGATTAGTGTTCCTGTTTGTAGCCGCAGTGAAACAGTTCCCGGTGATTTTAATAGCAATTATTTCGCAATTTCACTCACAGGTACTTTAACGCAAAGGTTCCAACTTTACAATTTCATGAAGTTAGTAGTGGGAAAGTATCTTTCGCAACACGAAATAATCTAGTATGATATTATTTGAGTACTTTATGGCTCTTGCTTTTTAAACAAAAGCAGAAAAATAAGCAAATTATGGCAAAAATCAAAAAAAATTGTTATCAACGTCAGGTTGATACTTTTTTCTTCAGTACCCGTATAAAGCAAAAAAATATTTTTTATAGACTTAATGAGTTAAATAAACTTAAAAAGTTAGAAAATATTATTTTTGGGAAGTAAAGCAATCTCACCTATCATTGCGCTTTTTAGAAGTTACATCTTAGCCAACTGTAAAAACAGCTTTTTCCACCTCAGATTCCATCTAAAGTTCGTAGAAAACCAGAGGGGTAAAGAGAGCACTATAAAAGACTTCCTCTTACTTCCTCCCCAATCAAAGTAACCAGATAAATTCTTTGGCTACCAACTTGGTGAAGTTCCGTGTTCCACCCTCTTATTCTCTATTCCGCTCTTCTTAGCGCTCTCAGTGTAAGTTCTGCGCAGCCAAGCGCAAAGCTGAAGGAAAGAGCCAACAGCAAGGGTCTCCAAATTGTGAATAAAGGTCTGTAATTTTTTACTGCTGATGAGACAGAGCCTGATAAAATCCTTTTTTATTTCTTTTTACTATACTTCACCTCTCCTTCAGCGACTCACTGATATGCATTTTTGGGTGATAAAATAGTTTTGTTTAATGTTCATCACATCTTTTGCTTTTCTAGTCTAAGTATGCAAAACTGTGCCATTTTCTCCCTTCATGTGACAAAAGCTAGAAAATATTATGTTTTGAAAGCAGAGTTTTTTTTTTGTCACGCTCATCTCAAACAATCTATTGTCCTCTCACTGCTCAAGGTATCTTCCTTAGCTACTTTATCCGAAATAATGCTGTCGCCTTCTCCTCTATGAGGAGAAAACCATGAAATTAAATTACCACACAAGATTGATAATTAGTTAAAAGGTTTCCATCTTTCACCTTTCTAAAACCATTTTCTCTCTTCCTTCCACTTTTCTATTTTCCCTTAACCTTCTCTCTCCCTCTTCTTCTCATCTCCGGGAAGTGTTAGAATACAGTATTTAAAAAATTACCTTTAGCTGAACGGGAAGGAAAAGCTACGCAGTATAAAGAAAAGTGGAAAGGGATAAATAATTTAGTATACACTTCTGGCACACTGGATCTCATTCCATATAAACCAAGTATGTACTTTTTTTCCGGACTTCAGAAAAATACGTTTCTAGACATAATAGAATAGAACAAAAATCCAGGCTGTTTCAGCACCACTTTTGCGTAGCTGCTAATGATACATACAGAAGTTATTAAACTGGCTTGAAACCTCGGTAAGACTCTTTGTTTTGCCAAAATACTATATCGCTGTGTGGTGTTCAGACCTGTTACCATCCCGTGAATGAGTGTGAGGAAATTTCTGAGCGTTTATGAAAAAAATTTAGGAACTCAGCTGTTTGCAAAAAGTTTATTTTTTTTAGATGTTGACGTAAACTTCTTGCTGAAAAAATTTCCTAATAAATGTGTTCTTTGTCTTTTCTCTGTCTTCTCATTCGATTTACCTGTCACTTCACTATACAACAGTAAATTTAAAAAAGTGCTAAGTTTATTTTGTTAATGAAGAGCTTATTTGAATTTTCTTTGAGACAGTGCCCTAGAAATTTACTAGTTATAATTGTTATTGGATTCCAACTTTTAAACGGTTACTTTTGCAGAGTGTAAGAATATAATGTTTCACCAACAGCAAAATGTAAATTGAATCCCAGTTAAAAATCAAGAAATAAATCAAATTTTTAAATGTTTGTTACATGAACCGTAACTTATAGTACCAAACAGATCATATAAGACGTTTTTTTTGACCAGAAATTAAGACTATATAGTCATATTTCCCCTGCTGACAACAAAAACCGACCTCCGCTCAATCGGTTAGTTTAATACGTTTTTCAGAAATCTTTCAACAACTTTCCCACGCATCTTTACTACATTCAAATTTCCGGTACCTTTCTATTTGATAACAACTGCGGGAAGTAACATTAGATTGAGATAATGAGCAAAATAGGGTGGAAAAAAAAAGAAAAAAAAAGATCGCCTAACAATGTTTTTAGCGAACAGTTTTTGCTTAGGGTGACTCCCCCGCTTCCTGCGGGGTTACAGACTTACAAATTATACTTTTTTTCGTTTATTAAAAAGTGGAAGGCGTATGTTTAAAATGCATTTATCAGTAAGAACAGAAACATATAAGTACAACAAACCACTTTCTACAATCTATAACGATTGTCCAGTGCCACAGTCAACCAAACAACGATGTTCTCTGCATTTATACTGGGTAGCTGCTTCTACCGTAAAACACTTGCAAATTTTGCTTCATATTGTATTGGTAACAAATTCTGGCTCTTTACTGTTGGTGTACTGTTCTTTGCTTTCTGTAATAACTATCCGTTTCTCGAACACCTGCTGACTTATGTGCTTCTAAAGTTATCACCAAATCAACTGCTGTATAGATTGTTATCGTTTAAAAAAATTTGAATCCTAAAGTTGAAAAAATGAATTTACAAGTGTCTTTTTTCAACCTCTTAAAATGGCAAATTTAAGACGTCTATATGTAGCTGATAAATCAACCATAAATCTTTACTTTCCACTTTTGTAAACAACAGTCTTTGTTAAAAAATTAGCTAAAGTCTGTGTGACAAGGCAAAAAAAA